TTTCTGACAAAAAGAATTTTCTTCCATAACAATCAACTGCAAAAAATACCAGCTACCTCCTCAAAAAATTATGCATAAACTCAATTTGATTTGCATTATTTCTTCGAAATATGTCAGATCAAAGTAGCTTAACAGGAAAAAAACTAATTCAGTCAAAATTTGTCACCGCTGCACAACAGCCAGGAAGCAAGAATGACCAAATTATTCAACGTTTTTCGGAGTAAGCAACGTTTCGAAATTAAAACCAAGAGAAAATTTAATTTCCAATACACCAGTAAAAACAGTCCTCGTTCACTTATATAAAATCCTCAATGAGCGAATCTTTTTATCTTTTCTTCTGATATTAAAAGATTTACTAGAAATAAACAAGATAATATTGCTCAATGGCCAAGTTCTAAGAACATTTGCCAGAGTATTTTATTTTTGGTAGTTCCTTATTTCTGTATTCGTCCTAGAAAAATATGGTTGATTCAGAATTTGTAGTTCAGAACTACTTTTATCTCACACGCTATACAGAGTACTGAACCAACGGTCTTGAAAGATGTGGATGTGTGGATGAGTGTCATGTGGGTTTGGGACAGGTGTATTTCTTTGCTTAAATAATACTCACACCCACAGCCATAAAAAGTAATAAATAAATACAGTAATATAACCAACATAAAGCCAGTGATGACTTAGATTAATTTGGAGAACTCGCAGATACATGAAAAAAATACTTTTTTGTGTAACGAATTTTGTTTTCGTATCAATGGTGCTTTATCTTGACAAGGAAAAAATTTTGAATACACAAAAAACGTTTTGTATTATATATGGGTAAGAATAATTTTCTCCAGAAGCTTTGATATTTTTTGCTCGTACAACTATTATCATTGTTATGACCTTCCTTCTTTAATGAAATTGTCAGCATTTTATTTTCAATTTGCATTGGTAATTCAATGAAATGAATCCAATTTTTAATTCTACATTTATATTTATAGACTTAAAAATTGTAAAGATAAAGTCTATTGTTTTACAAGTATATAAATAAATAAATGGAAGTTTAATATCAAGAAAAAGAATAATAATACTATGTGTATGTAAAAAATTGTTTGATGTTAAAAAGAATAACTTTGTTTGCTTTGTCTAAAATACGAACTGATTGATATAACTGTCAATAATAGATTAACGAAATGAGATTGTGAAAACACGTTTATCTCAAGTTATTGGTGATATAAAATTCAGTTTAAATATAAAAGTTATATTTTAATAAAACTAAGACGAAACTCGAAAAAAAAATGGATCTGTCATTGATGTAACTGCACATATCAAAAGTGTGTACTAACTTGGAAATCTGTTCATCAATTATTATATATACAAACTTAGCGTCTTATAATTCAAAATTTTGAAATTAATTACTTTTTTGAATCATATTCAAAAAAAAAGATATATAGCTTATCTATATATTATACCAGATAATGATCAAATACGTAAGTTCAATGATAAAAACTTGGTCTCGAGAACTATTAACACATTATGAATTATGTCGATTAGGTTTGTATAAACTTTTAGTAAAAACAATTTCTACTCAAGATCTTTTACATATAAATGAATTAAATAATAATAATCATTCCAACTTCCAAATGTTGATCAACGGTTTACAGAACATGGCACAACACATCTATTGGAAAGAAAATTAAAAGTTTATGCAGAAACAATTAAAGAACAACTTTTGTATCTTCTTTCAACTGAATCATTTGGCAATACATTATTATAAGATAAGCGACGTTATGTACACCTAATGCTCTTTCAAACTTTTCATTTTCACTTAATCGTCATTCATCAAATAATGATTTAACAAATATTGATTATGCTCTTTCTTCACCATCGCCG